TTTTTTTTTTTTTTTTTTTTTTTTTTTTGGGAGGGGGGAATCTGCACTCAGTCACAAGCCGTATGTACCACTAATTACAGTAGAAAAAATGACCAAGAAATGAAATGAAAAAGTTGTATTCAAATAGACTGAACAACAGTCTCAGACTATAATGAATATAAAACAGTTATCAGTGAAGAAAGTGCAGATGTTAACAAAAAATTGTTCCTTATCAAAATTTTCTGTGATTTTTAAAGTAAATTTTACAAGCAATTTAGCAATTCTTTTTGAGACTGTAGTTGATTAAGCAAGAAAAAAAATAGAAAAAAAGCAGGAGAAAAAACTGTTCTTTAATCTGTTTAGGACACGGAAGAGACGCAGGTTACCATCACGCTGCGATTTTGGAGGTGGGCGCAATGGTACTGCAAAATATGTTCAGCGCCTTATCCTTCCTCCATTATCGCAAAGATGACGACTTTGTTGATCGGCTTTCCTACTTCTACACGTCGTCGTTTTTAATTATGATGGCTGTTTTAGTCAGCTTTAAACAGGTTTCTTTCTGCTTTATACATCTGTTACAGTTTAGCAAAACATAAATTTCAAATTTATTAGTTCAAAACAACACTAATTTTTTTCTTTTTTTTATTTTTTGTAACCGTCGCACTACAAGCCTAATTGCTGTTTTCAGTCGTTTAGCTCAGAGGAAAATATGTTTTTTTGTAGTTTGGAGGTAGACCCTTGGAATGTTGGGTACCTGCACAATTTACTAGTTCTTGGGAGGCGTACACAGAAATGTACTGCTGGGCACAAAATACCTATTGGGTGCCTATAGACCAGGTCAATTTTTTTTATTTGATTGCTAACATTCCAATAAAGTTCGGTTATCACTTATCCATTTCAGTTTTGATCCATTTTCTGACTTCTTCTTCGAAACCAAATGTATCTAATGTAAAGCTTATATTATTTTTAGAACAGTTTAAAATCATAAAATTAATCTATGATTCTTCTATTAAGAAATTTCACAGCAATATTAGTAAAAATTACCGTAAACTCAGATAAGGTAGAAATTAATAAAAGTTGGAATTGAATTTCTAAATCTACGACTGTAAAGGCTAGAATGATTAGCTGTGGTACCGCCAAATTTTTTAACTATTGTACTGTTTGGCAGCAAATGTGAGTAATGACAGAGGAAAGTGTTACAAAATAATGATGCTCATCTTTTTTTTTTTTTTTTGAAGAAAAAAATTAGGCAATTTAGCTCTTACAGCAACTTTTTTTTAATATACTACTGAGTGTTAAGCAAAAGTTTTCGTTGCAAAACATATTTTGGATATACAGGTTTTGTTCTTAGGATATTCCGGACGAAATTTCCGAGCGTGAGTATAGGCAGATATCATATTATCAATGGGTACCGTTCTTTCTTCTAATTGAAGCCTTTCTGTACTATATTCCTTGCCTTATGTGGCGCTTGATGAGTGATAAATCAGGTTAGATCAAAATTAACGCTTTGTTTATCGATTATAATCACAGCAGAAAAAACAAAAAAAAAAACTCAGAAGAGTTTTTTCTTTAGCTATTGTTGCTTACTGTTTTAACGTTTATATATTTTAGTTTTTTGTCTCGCTTACTACAGGATGATAATTTGAAAAATAACAGACTTATCGAATTTAAAAAAATTATATGAATTTTACATAGAGAATTTATAGGTATACGCTTGAACGATATCGTACAGCTAGCAACGGAGAAAGAAAATATTGAGTCTGACTATAGACTACGTACTATTGAGTCTCTTTCCAGGCATATTGAGTCAGCTCTAAGGCAAGATTGAACTAATTAGTTTTTTTTCTGAGTGGTGATTTCTTCTATTTTCAAGGTTAAACTAACGAAATATTTTCAAAATCAGTTTGTTACGATAATCGTAATAGTTTGACTACTCTGTGCTTCAGATATCAACATACCGCAACGTCTCGAACTCAGTACACACTACACAGAGTTTTCAAGTGCTTTAATATGCGATATTATGAGAGCTATGTTACTGGATTATACCTCGTAAGTACTTTTTCTTGTTCTTTAAACAAGCTGTTAGATAATACAGCCTCAACGAAACCTATTTTATATTTTACTACGGTTTTAGGCAACAAAAATAATGTATGTAGGAAATATTTTGACAAATCTGATATTAGTCAACAAGTTTCTTGAAACTGACGAATATTCGATATATGGGATTGGTGTTGTTCGTGATCTTCTTTTTGGCCGTACTTGGATGGAGTCTGGAAACTTTCCTCGTGTCACTTTAGTAAGTTATAGTTTGAAGTCGTTTAACACACATTTTTACGAATAGTAGTCTGCGAGAAACACTACGATCGCAGTTTAAGCAAAGCAAAGTTATTATGCAGTCTTTGTATGCAGTTATATAAGAAAAAACAGAAAAATACTAAAATGCTTCTGCACCTGTCAAACTTTTTCTTCACTTCCAGTTCTAAAATTAAACTCTTGCTTTCCTTCTTTTAAAATACTGTATTTGGTTTAGCTCATGATAGTCTTAAAATTTATAATTACTTTCATAATTTATCTAATTTGAGAACAGGAGCTTCTTGGAAATTTTCTACTTTTTGGAAGTAGACTAGTAACTTCTGTTTTCAAAGACTTTGAAGATTTATAACTTCTGTCAAGCAGATATTTAAATTTTCAGTGCGATTTCGAAGTGCGTGTTTTAGGAAACAACCAACGTCATTCAGTTCAAGTCAGTCATTTCTGGTCTTAGTTTTTATGCGTTTCATGTACTTGTAATAATTTATGACAATCCTGCACATGGAGCACGAAGCTTATTAGAGTTTAAAACGTTGAAACTATGGCAACGTTTTTTAAGCTATTTGAAAGACTCACCAATAGTTCTTTGTTTTTTTCTTTTTAAATAACATAGCTGCACCAGAAGTTGTTTAGTGACATTTCGTTGAAGGTGTGCAAGAATTAACCAGGAAGTTGTAGTTTTGTATAGTTTAATAAATTTAAATGCCGTTTAGCCTTCTTTCGACCGCTTTATTTATGGTACTACGTACTAACTGACAGTGCCACTAAGAGTTACAGCTAAAAATGAAAACATTCAACAAAGTTGTTCAGTGCAGTCTGACTGTCAGTCTATTTTTTAGTAGGCAAAAAAATGGTCTTTTGTTCGCTTTACAATCAGGCTTTGAGAAGGAAATTAGTAGAGCGTCTTTTGAAGACGCTGGAATCCTGCTTTTAACGAGAGGAACATTGTACCAGATTTGAACCTAAGTAATTCGATCCTATTTAACATTAAATGAAAAAAAGTACCAGCTCTGATACCACTGCAGAGCGAAAGGTTGTTTTGACGACAAAAGTTTTGTGTTATATTTTCCGTGAGTGATAAATCAAAAAGTCTATTTTAGTATTTTTTTTACTAATTACAATGAATGTGCACTAATAAAGCTGTTCTGTTTCAGTGTGTTTTGGTGATTAACATATTCAACGAAAAAATTTTTATTCTTATATGGTTGTGGTTTTCTGTACTTTTTGTTGCTGCTACACTGGACGCTTTATATTGGTTTAGTATATCACTGTTTCATAGGTAGTTTGATAACTTTCGTTTCTACATGTTGTTTGAAAAAAAATTAGTTCATAAAAATTAGGAATAAAAAAAAAACTTATACAAAAAAAAAAAAGATGTAAGCAATTTTTAGAGACCGTTTTCGTTTTGTTCTGCGTCATTTGGAACTGACCACAGATCCAGATAGGCCAGAATTGTTCAGGAAAGAAAAAAGAAAACAAGTGGAGCATTTTCTGAAAACTTATCTGAAGGTATTTGAACTTATTGCTAAACAGTGATACTGTAAAAGTTCATTTGTGCTTCGATGTCCTACTTTGTTCTTTCACTATTCAAAGTCAATAGTTTTTACCAATGTTTTTATATGTCTGAAAATTCTTCATTTTTGGAAGAGCAGACAAAACGTGGCCAATACTTTAAACCTTTCTTTCTAAGGTAGTTTTAACTAGAATATTGATTTTATAAAAAATGATTATTGCGATTCCATTTGTCAATTAAATTTCTCATTGGGTCATGCAAACAGTTTTAGGTGGACGGAGTTTTAGTACTTCGTATGATAGCGCTTCATGCTGGTGTTATGTACTGTACAGAAATTACTGATGCATTGTGGAAAAGATACCTCTCGCAGCACCCAGAAAATTTGATTGATGAAGATTCTTCATTAATCAATTTTGCTCGGTAAGCTTCTAGTAAATTGTCGAGGTGAAGTAAATAAGCATACCAATTGTACAATGATACGCATTTTTTCGCAGATTGAAAATGTTATAAGTGATTTTACGATTCTGAAATTTTGCATAATTGACGATATTCTTACGGAAGCCTTTGAATGCCATAAATATTTTTTCAGTTTATCGCTATTCTGTAGTCAAAATTTATAAAAAAATTTTTTTTTAATTTGACTCTGGGAAAGATACTTTGTCGCGTAGTTAATAAGAATCTATTCCATGCTTTTTAGCATTTCAGGACGCAGTCGATTCGGCGAAGTCGGGCTGGTGGTGGCGATACGCATCCCTTACAGGCCAATCGCACTCACGAACCACTCTCTCGGTTCTTATCAAATCGAAGCCAGGATTCAGTCCCGTGAGTCTTTTGAAAGCTAAGAATTATATCTACGAACCACATATATGATAACAAAGATGGCGTATTTTTAAAAAAAAAAATTGTGTGAAAATGCTGTAATTAATTTAGATATATTAAAACTGTAGAGAAAAATTATTAAGTTTTTTGTTTTATGAATTTGACTTAAACAAAACTCTCTACGTTTACAGTTGACTTTAATAATCTCCAAATACAATCTAAATGTACTTGCTTCTTTGAAATTAAATAAAAAAAGAATAATATATCTGTTTAATTTCTCAAAACTTCTGTCTAAAGTGCTATACCTCACTGTTATAAGGTTTTAATCGTTTTTATTTCTTGACTGAGGAAATTGTAGTCTTCAAAGAGGTCAAAGCACAAATCGGTCGTTTACAACGTATAGCTCAACGGCTCTCGTGTCAACGCCGAAACAATCCCTCGTAGTACGTATTCCGTCACGAGAGCGAACCACAGAGGTAACGCAACGAAATGCAACAAACACTCAGGCTGCCGAAACTCAGTCTAGTCAACTTATAATTTAAATTAGCAACTGACGACTGGATTTCCACAATTGCTTCTCCAGTGGAGAGTGTAAAAATTATTGTTGTATCAATTTTTTTTAAAATATTGGCAATGAATTTTACTTGTTTTTTGTCTCGTTCTTAACAGTTTAATGCACTGCATTGTCGTCATATTTACCATCAGCATACAGCCAATGTTTCTTGTAGTATCATTTCGTAACGGTATTTTCTTTTTAAACTTTCCCTAACTTTCCCTAACCATTACACACAAATGCAAACAAAAACATAGACACAAACAATAATTATTTATTAAATTTATCTTCTTTCAGGCAGTTATAGTCAAAGTGCACTTATCGTTCTTTAATTCCAATCAAAAAGTTGCTTGACATTTGATAGAAAAAAAGTAAATAATTTTTTGCTATAATAAGTCGGAACTTAGTTATCAAAAAACATAGAAATATTATTCAAGAATTTTTTGTTAAATGTTTTTAAGTTTATCAGTATTGGTAAGATTAGTTTTAGCAACTTTTTGACTACTTAAAACTTTCAGAATTGGTTGCAGTATTGTATAACTGCTACATTGATTTGGTAATTTGCTGATTATCGTTCACAGTGATTCTTAATTATGAATGATTCTTAATCTTATTTATGAATGACGATTTTAATAAGGTTTTTTTGTCGGTAAATCTTTAATTCACTTTGTCAGGTTGTATTTTTTTTATTATGCATTTGTTTTGCATTTTAAAACATGATAATATCTTTAATATAGTTTTATACAATTGCACAAATTTTGATATTTGTTGGCTGATATATCTTTTGCAAACACGATTTTTTATTGTTAGTTGCCTAAGAAATGTTTGCAGTTGATTGCTCAATCTGTTATATCGAAATGTTTCTTTTTTCTTCTTGCATACTGACGCTACAGTTTACTTTTACCTGTTTAATATCTTTTAAAATTATCTTTTAAGAATATCATTTTCTTTTGTACTTATACTAACAAATTTATGAAGTTCAAATCAACAGGTGTTTTGTTTCTCTTCTCGTTCTTCTTCTCTTTCTTCTTTTTTATTAATGAATTATTTGCAAGCAAATGATTGGATCTCAAATTTACTTTAAAGACAGAGTAAAGTTTGTTGAAGATATGCTGCTACTGACTGCAAAAAAAAACGTGTTTGTTGTGCCGTCCACTTAGCTACCAACTTTTATTAGACAA